TCGCCGTCTCGCCCGTCCGCGGCCACGAACATTGACGCGAAGATTCGGTGCATTCCATCGCACCACTGTTAATTGAATAAGCATCATTATTTCTTATAATTATCGCCTAATACTTAATACAACTTTCTGTCTCCAACGTCCTCGCTTCCCCTCCTGGCAACCGACTGACCGCTCTCCGCGCGGGAAAGCGAGATCGTTTTACCAGTACTGTTTTCTTTAGGAAAATTTTTATTTTCCTTATACGTCACCAATACAGCTTTCGTAGGCAGAGGTGAAGTTGATGAATATGTTTGCAAATGTGATGGGATTTACTTTGCTTTTGCTGCTTCCGTTAAAATATGCGCTCATGTACCGAATACTGTCTTGAAATTGCTGTCACATGTCCGGATCAAAGCTGATTCCTTCTGCAGAATTACCACTCAATTTAACGACAGGCTCGAAGATTCTTTCCTTCTAAATAATTGTAATCCCACGTGTAATTTCTTCGTATGAGAGGTATTGAGAGGGTACGTCATAGAAAGCAGCAAATTTTGTTCCACATTTTGCACAGAGTTCTCGAATATCTTGCGAATATTTTCTAGTTTAGCGGGATTCGCAGCTTCTTGTTGTCCGGCCATATTACTCGATGAGAGAATTTTGAACAAAATGTCCACTTTTAACAAACGAAAACTCGGAGGAATATTTTCGAAGTAGACGCTTCGAATGTCGATACTCGAGTGAAGCAGTGTAGCGATACAACATTACTTACTTATATCGCATCTTCCCCTCCCTTTGAAATAAACAAAAAAGTACGTTTTATAAATAATATACAGTTAAACCGAAGATTCTAGAAGGAACGCGTATTTTCGCTTTGTCTCTGCTTTTTTCAAAAAAAAAACTTTCCTCGAATAACAGAATTATTGTTATTGTTTATAACAAAAAAAACATCGTTAGTAAACAAAAAAAGTGAAATCGAAAAAGGGTCAAGCTACAAGTAATATAAATTTTTCAAGAAAAAATGATGTATTACTTGGGCTGAGAGCATTCCTACCCCTCGCGCTCTCGAAACTACGGGATAATTCTGCAATTTTTTATAAATCTCTTTCTACATTTTTTTATAAATCTTTGAAAAAGATTTTCCCTATATATAGTGCGTTTTGCGCTATCTAAAACTATTTCTGAGTTGAACTCTTTCGCCTCGGTTTCACGAGTCCTTCGGTCACGCGAGTTTTAAAAGTTTCGGGTTATTTTGCGCGAATAAAGGTGCGAAAAATAGGTAGTGAAGTGATTAGAAGAAGCATAAAATTAGCATCGATGTTGGATACTCACATAAACGCCGAGAAATTTTTAAAATATCTAACGTTCGCTCGATGCCAACTATCTGCTTTTCGTACTATCTGTTTTTCGTGCGAATGTTCTGATACAATATTGGGAATATTGTATCAGTTAGGATACAACTTTGGTACCGACGCGCGTTTACTCCGGATTGCCGGAGAAATAATTGAAACGCTACGTGCGATTGGACACGAGGAGGAGGATATGGGTGGACACATCCAAAATCTCCTCTCTCATCTCCACAAGTAGTGGTAAGTGACTCTCTATTATTTTTATAAAAGCAACTCATATATCGAACTCGTGATTTAGCTAATTTTTAATAATAAATTATAGTAAGAAATGCACGTCAAAGAGTCACTGCAGTGGTGAATCCGCTCACGCAAATTCGAAGGCGACGCGCGGAGGACGAGGCAGAAGCAGGTCCAGCGCGTAAACAATATTATTAAAAACTAGACAGGAGTAATGTTAAAAAATACAATTTTCCAAGATTAAAATATTAAATGCTTTTAGGAAGGCCACGTATTGAACCTACGCAGGAATTAGAGGAGGAGGCGCCAGAAATTATTCAGCTCTCATCTGGTAGGTTTACATTTTTAAATAAATAATTTTTAAAACAAATAAGTAAAAGTTAGAAAATCTTAATACAACTTTGTTTTTAGATACGGCAGTAAGTACTCCCGATCAGCGAGTGTTTTCGCCCGGTAAGTCGATGAGGGAAAATATTAATTAAAGTACATAATATCTTTACTGATTAAAGACATAATATGAATATCGAAAATAAAAATTTACGATATATTTTTTCTTAGAATACGACCATATGTACTCCCCCGTAATCCCGGAAGAGAGAATTTGGAGCGATGAAGAAGGAGAAGAAGAAGAGGAGGAGGAGGAGGAGATGACGGAAGAAGAACAAGTGGAAGAGGAGGGGAAGGAGGAAGAGGAAAGGAAACAAGCACGTGTTGGTCACGAGGTCAGAAATTTTAATCATTTATTATTAATCGGGGAAAATTCGCGCCGCTTTAGAAATTTCGCGATATTAGGACTAGAGGCGATATTTCGTTTGCGTCCGCTACCCGAAAGAGTCAATGTTTATAACTGGCTTGAAAACGCATTCGCCGAAATTCATGCCTACGCGTTGCATACCTCCGAACCGCATGATTACGTGGGATTTGCATTCGATTCGGAAGATTTAACGCACGGTCTGGCGGGATTATCGTTTCGATCGGCACGCGACTTAACTCGCGAGAACATTTGGCGTCTTGTGAGTTCAGTAGCGCAAAGCGCCGGAGGTCTCGATATCGCACGGGATTTTAACATACGCGTTTTCAATGTCGCGGCACTCAGAGATCGCGGACGCGTTTCGAATAAACTTACACGGGAAGACGTTGCGAAACATTCGATTTTAACAATCTCCAATTCGGATAATCTATGTTTTCCCCGCTTTCTCGTGACCGCGCAAATTATCACGAACGCGGTACGTTGCGTGCGGGGGAACTTCACGAGCGGTGGAATGTGGTAAGACATCAGAATTCCTCGTTACAACGCGAACTCGCGTTGGATTTGACGAGGAGGGCTGGTGTCACCATTCCGGAGGGTTGCGGGATTCGGGAAATAGAATGTTTCCAACGCTTTCTCGCCGCATCCGATATCGCCATTATTATTTATAATTTTGCTACTTTCGAGCGCGGCGAGAGACCTTTATTCGATGGAACCGCGGTACTCGCCTCTCTAGAAGGTGAGCCATTGTATCGAATAAATATTATATATTATATATTATGAGCAATTTAGTCCTAGTTTAGGAACATTATAGTCCTATTTTAAATTTAAAAGCAGCCGCGAGAAGAGTAGAGGGGGTTATTGTATGTACCATGTAATATCAGTTATCGTGAGGAAAGGGGTCATCGCTGTTCTCGTTGTAACAAAGTGCCGCCGTGCGAGCAATGTAAAATCGTAGAATTTATTAGGTGCGAGACTTGCAAACGTTCGTTCTTAGGAAACGCATGCTTCGAACATTATCGGGCGACAAAGTCGTACGACGGAAAAACACCGGCGAGCGTCTGCAATACCATTCGGCTTTGCGAAGGTTGCGGACGGATTATAAAAGCGACAAAAAGACACGAATGTGCCGTTTCTTTTTGCAAAATTTGCAGTTCGCAAAAACCGATAAATCATCTTTGTTACATGCAACCTCTCTCACGTGAAGACAGATCCTCCGCTGTCGAGCCCGAACGGAGATTCTTCTGTAGTTATGAGAGAGAAAAGGAGCAGAATAACACGGGTGAGCGGGAACGCAATAAGGGACAAACGGCATTTGTATTTTATGATTTTGAGACGCGTCAAGATCAATCGCTCAAGGGAACCGATATGAAAATTTACGTCCCGACACTCTGCATCGCACAACAGATTTGCGATTCGTGCGCGGGGATGGATAATTTGTTAGTGCGCTGCGACTGGTGCGGAGTACGCGAATTTGTTTTTCGGCAAGATCCGGTAAAACAATTTGTCGAATTCGCAACACGATCAACGAAACATTTTACGCGGATTATTTGTATAGCGCATAACGCGAAATTGTTCGACGCGCAGTTTATCCTCCGGTACATCGTAGAAAATTATTCTGGATTAGAACTTCGTATAATTTTAAACGGTACAAAAATTATGGTCCTAACAGTCGCACGAAATTTATCGACAGTGTTAATTATATGCCAATGCGTTTGTTAGAATTACCGAAGGTTTTCGGATACTTATGACAAAGGTGTCTTTCCGCACTTATTTAATACTGTCGATAATTAAACATATGTCGGTCCACTACCCGATGTTCGCGCCCGAAACAATGCGAACAGAGGAACGCGAACGTTTTCTCGCGTGGCACGCAGAAATGTCTGAAAGAAATACGGTATTTGATTTTCAACGTGAAATACTCGAGTATTGTCGCACCGACCTTAATATTCTTCGACGAGCATATATGGCCTTCAGAAAAATATTCTTACAGCGAGGAAACGTGTGTCCATTCGAGGAACTATAGTACAACTATCGTTTCAACGTGCATGAGAGTTTTTCGGAAAAAACTTTTTGCGCGAAGGAGAAATAGGAATCATTCCTTCAAGTGGATACAGGTTTAAAGATAACCAGTCGCGCAAAGCCATGCAATGATTAATTTTGAAGGAACGTGAGATCGGTCATCGAATAATTCACACGGGACATGCGATTATCGTTTAGCGGAAGGCATGCTCGTCGACGAGTATTACGAATGCGAGAATGGGGGTGAGACGCGGCGTCACGTCTTGCAATTTCACGGTTGCTTTTTTCACAGATGCCCGTCTTGCTATCCATTAAATCGTGATAAAACGCTCGAAAATTTTAACGATACGTTTGACGCGCGTTACGAACGAACGGTTGCAGCGTCTTGACGTCGTCAAGGACATATTCTAACAGAAAAATGAGAGTGCATTTTCGACGAAGAAATGCGCGAGAGATGCGAGAATTTCTTGAAAATCACCCCATGGTGCAAATCCCACCTCTCGATCCTCGCGATGCATTTTTCGGCGGACGCACCGGCAATATCGCGACTCGATACGAGGTTACCGGGCACCGAGAAGATACGTATGTTCTCTGTATCCGTACGTACTCAAGACTGGAGTTTTCCCAATTGGTCACCCGGATATTTATGTGGGCGAGGAATGCGCCGGTTTCATTGGAATTGCGCTAAATTTTAATTTTACTCCGGTCGAGGGTCTCGTAGTTGCCGAGTACTTCCCCCGCGTGATCTCTTCCACCCGGTACTACCGTACCGCATACGCGGTAAATTATTATTTGCTCTTTGCCGTACATGTTGCGAATCATTTTCTCGCGACGCGTGCACTCACGATCCTGCGGAGCGTGAGTTCGAAAGCACATAGGTGTCCGAATTACGCAAAGCAGTCGAAAAAGAATATCTTGTGACGCGGGTAGACGAAATTTGGCAGTACAAATCCACGCGATATAACCCCGAAACGCGACAGGGAGGGTTGTTTACCGAATATATCAACACTTTTTTGCAACTGAAACAAGAGGCGAATGGGTGGCCGAGTGCAACGGCGACATTGCTAAAGAATGCTACCTGAGGGAGTATGAAGTAACCGAAGGTATCATTCTCGATAAAAACAACATCATACGTAATTCCGGCTTACGCTCCATCGCTAAACTCTGCCTTAATTCGTTTTGGGGGAAATTCGGCCAGCAGAGTAACCTGCCGAATACAGAAATAATAAGATCCCCTCAGCGTTTCGCCGAATTGCTGTCGAGTCCTGAACACGAGATAGTCGGTGTATTGCCCGTTAACGAGGATGCGATATACATTTCATGGCGGTTAAAGAGCGAAGCGGTGGTTCCTTCACCGATAACTAACGTGGTGATAGCGGCATACACGACGGCACAGGCGTGATTAAAATTATATGAATATTTAGAAAAATTAGATCGTCGCGTATTATATTACGATATAGATTCTTGTATATATATGAGCAGCGGTGATCCCGAGGAGTACAAACCGCGTACAGGTAATTTTTTGGGTGACATGATCGACGAACTCGAGAGTTACGGGCGTGGTAGCTTCATCGAGGCGTTTGTATTTGGCGGGCCGAAGTTTTACGCGTACGTGGTACGTACACCGGACGCACGAAAATATGAAATATGTAAGATAAAGGGGATTAAATTAAATTTTGAAAACTCGAGGCTGCTTAATTTTAAGAGTATTTATAATTTTATTATTAAATAGGGAAAAAGAGGAGGAGAAAGAGATAAATCTGCGATTTAAGACAATTCACCGCACCGCGTTTCACGAAGTAATAACGCGAAACGAGGTAAAAACGTATGCTCCTGTTTTATTAAAGCGCAGATTCGACAATCTTCTTTCTTATCCCTACGGTTTTACGATATAATTTTACTTAAAATTAAGTTAGGGTAAGGCTCGGATTTTCCCCGTCCTCCCGCAAGTGTAAATATGTATACAGAATAAATATGCTTGTAAAAATTAAGATTATTTTTATTTTAGTCATAGTTTATTTTAGTATTAAATTTAAGAAAAAAATGCGAAATTTGAAAAATGTATATTATATGAAGTTTTGATTAGAAAATGTAAAATTACAAATGTAAATTTGCATTTAGTTATTAAGAAAAAATGTAATAAAAATATTTATTTCTCTAATTGTAAGAAAAAGTATAATAAAAATTTTGTAAAATTAAATTTTTAAATCCAATTTTTTCCCATTTTCCTATAATTTTCTTATAACTTTTTTTTATCACTAATTTTTTATACAGAAAATACTTTGAATTTACAATAAAGAATCTTTAAAATACTTTGTAAAATATCTTTTAAATTATAATCCTAAATTATAATCGCATAAGTTATGATTTTTTAAATTACTTTTTGTAAAAGAAAAAGTTATAAATTTTTGTGTCCATAATAATAAGTATTCAATTATTTTTTCCGCGAGTAAGTTTCTCCGGCTTGAATTAGCTTTCGAGGAGCACCGCGTACAAGCTCGTAAGCGACGGTACTCTCGCGGTGGACGCTCGCACGAACGTACGAACGAAGCTTGTCACGGACGAGTACGAGTTCATTACGCAAAGATGCTGGCGCGAGCACATCTTCACCGCGGTGGGGCCCTTCCGCGAGTAAGCTAATCTCAAAAATCTCAAAAATTTCTCTGAGAAAAAATCAAGAACCTCAAGTGTTCCATCCCTTTGTTATCCCTTTGTTTATATCTAAGTACGACGCGCAAGACATTCATTTCCCGAAATGGATGTACGCTGGAAACATCCGTGGACGTCGATCGTGTGCGGACCGACGGGATGTGGAAAAACAATCTTTGTAAAGAGATTTCTTCGTCATT